AGTTTGTGGTTTTGTTTCATATTTGCATAGTGAGGCAGTAACGGGTGAGGGCGAGTAACAGGTAGAGGCGAGTAACAGGGGAGTGAGGCCGAGTAACAGGTGAGGCAGTAACAGAGAGTGAGGCAAACAGGGTGGGCGAAAGGTGAGGCAGTAACGGTGAGGCAGTAACGGGTGAGGCGAGTAACAGAGTGAGGCGAGTAACAGGTGAGGCAGTAACAGGTGAGGCAGAACAGGAGGCAGTAACAGAGTGAAATATACTGAACTAAGGGATCCAGTCTCCACCTATAGAGTTACTACTCGACTGAAACAACATTAAATCTACACTTCTCTCTTTCCTCTTCCCCTCTTCTCCTCTTCCCTCTTCCTCCCTCTTCTATCTTCCTCTTTCCTCCTCTTCTATCTTCCTCTTTCCTCCTCTTCTATCTTCCTCTTTCTCCTCTTCTATCTTCCTCTTCCTCCTGCTATATCTTCCTCTTCCTCCTCTCCTATATCTTCCTCTTCCTCCTCTCCTATATCTTCCTCCTGCCATATCTTCCTCTTCCTCCTCTTTTATCTTCCTCTTCCTCCTGCTATATCTTCCTCTTCCTCCTCTTCTATCTTCCCTCTTCCTCCTCTTCTATCTTCCTCTGCCATATCTTCCTCCTCTTCCTATCTTCCTCTTTATCTTCCCTCTTCCTCCTGCCATCATATTTCTCCTCTTCCCTCCTCTTCTCACTCTTCCTCTGCCATATCTTCCTCTCTTCCTCATTTATGTTTACTCTTCCTCCTACCTGTCTTTCCTTCCTCTTCTATCTTCCTCTTTTATCTTCCTCTTCCTCCTGCCATATCTTTCTCCTCTTCCTCCCTCTTCTATCTTCCTCTGTATATCTTCCTCCTCTTCCTCTTCCTCTTTTCTTCTCTTCCTCCTGCCATATCTTTCTCCTCTTCTATCTTTATCTTTTATCTTCCTCTTCCTCCTGCCATATCTTTCTCCTCTTCCCCTCCTCCTTCCTATCCTCTTCCTCCTGCTATATCTTCCTCTTCCTCCTCTTCTATCTTCCTCTTCCTCCTGCTATATCTTCCTCTTCCTCCTCTTCTATCTTCCTCTGCCATATCTTCCTCCTCTTCTATCTTCCTCTTCTATCTTCCTCCTCTTCTATCTTCCTCCTCTTCTATCTTCCTTTTTTATCTTCCTCTTCCTCCTGCCATATCTTTCTCCTCTTCCTCCTCTTCTATCTTCCTCTTCCTGCTGGTCCTGTACCTTTATATACAACATTCACTGGCCAAGACCATCCTCAATCCCTCCTGACAATATCAATCCTCAACTCTTTCAAATATCTTTCTGAAGAGGGAGGTTCGCCACAGGTCCCCTCCCCCCCCCCACCATACCTCATCTGATACAATACCCACAGTAGTACCCACACTTCGAGGGAGAGTAGAGGGGAAGGGAGGGGGAAGGGTAGAGATGTGTTCCAATCCTCTTTAGGTCTCCTTGACAAAATCCAATCTAAAGTTTTATTCCTTATCAACAACCCGGTGAGCTCACATCTACTACCTCCTGTGTTCGGTCCCTCAATGTCATGTCATGTTTTATTTATTAACGTCACTCATGGCCTCTGTACCCCCAGTTAAAGATCCTGTCTATCATGTCACAAGATCCTGCTTATCATGCCACAAGATTCTGCCCATCATGCCATAAGATCCTGCCTATCCTGCCACAAGAGCCTGCCTATCATGCTACAAGATCCTGCCTATCATGCCACAAGATTCTGCCTATCATGCCACAAGATCCTGCCTACCATGCCACAAGAGCCTGCCTATCATGCCATAACTATTAAATTTCCTGCTGGACTGCTTTGGTATAGTCTGCAGCTTGTCACTAACACCCTGGTCCAGCAGACACCATGAATACACCCTTCCTTCCTTCCTTCCTTCCTTCCTTCCTTCCTTCCTCATATATTCTTTAATCCTCCAACTACTTCTGAAACTACGTCTCTGTAGAGTGTTTTCCCTCAACATAAGACAAGAGACGAAGTGGTTGACCATTTGTTTATCATAACATTATACGTATTTCAGTATTGTTTATCATTACATGTTTGTTTTGCCTTTGTTTTTTTTTTTGTTCGATAATTATAACCTACAGGTATTTAAAAGATGGAGTGTTGAACAAAAAACACTCATTCCTTCCTTCCTTCCTTCGTGTGTGTGTGTGTGTGTGTGTGTGTGTGTGTCCTAGGTATTTTGTCCCTCAGAAGAATATAAAAGTACACGTCTTAAAGGAAAGTTTGTAGACTAGCTAGTGGGAGGTGGAGGGTGAGGAGGTGGGAGGGGGAGAAGGAGGTGGGAGGTGGAGGATGAGGAGGTGGGGGGAGGGTGTCGTCCTCACCAGCGGCACTACACACATCTCCATCACAACACGAAAATATAACTTAATACTACATCACAACACAACCTCATAACTAAGCACCACAACATACAACCTCATAACTAGGCACCACATCCCCTGTCAATCTCCTCATGG